CGGACAATCATGGAACACGTGTAGCAGCCAAATTGCGGAGAAAACACGTTACCGCCGTCCAGACCTTCACCAAGGAACTCTCACATACGATAAGTTCCTTTTTGACTTGCTCCCATTTCACATTGTATTTATTTTTATACGCGTTGCAACTCTTCACTGTCCACCATACTAAAAACTTCTATTAGTGCACATACACCTGATTTGTATTATGGCTATCACCACCTGTGCACTAATAAGACACAGCATACATCTACCTCGATCTAAGTTACTCCAATTCCGAAATAATGGCAATGAAAAGTCAGCTTCAAATAGACACTAGGGCACAACCACTGTGTGTCCAAATTTTGGCTTCGCACTGCATCAAATTCGCATGTTTCAAATTCAACTGGAAGTAAGTATCGTTTTCACTTTCCGACTGATTATTCTCTTTAACTCCCAGGTTCACTCACACGTAAACCAACATCGGCCAACTTCAAATCTCCTTCAGAATTTCCAAGATAGACTCAACCAAACCATGTAGATCAATTGAGATTTCGTGCTGTAAATGAACCCAATCCATTCCGAAAAGCGGAAGAGCACTATACTTTTGTTTCATAGTTATTTGGAACCATCAGCAGTGCACACCTTACGGAACTCCAAGAGGTTTGAATGGATGACTTCTCAGTCAGTATTTTACAATCTTGACCGTTCAGCCATCAATGCCACATCACACTCAGACAGGGTACAGCGTCACTCATCCTTCACTCACAGAATCCGCATAACATGGCTACGTGCTGAATGGCTTCATGAGCAAGGATTCCTCGGATTGGCTTTATTTACAGAAAGAAATCTCAGATGAATGTTTACAACTCTCGTCACACTACCAAAAGCATATAGATAATTTGGAGTAGTGGCGAATTACTCAGCAAGGAACAAATACTGTACTTTTCAAATTCATTTCAATTTCGTCTCAGCAGTCTTGCTCCCGTTCTTGCGTTATTATTCGAGTGAGTCCACACCAAAGGTTGGTGGTACTGGACTCGAGGTTTGCTCTTGTTAGGACTCACCTGGTTATATCCTTGGCTGTGCGGAGATCAGAATGGTTGTCACAAGACAGGAGCGATACTGTTCAAACGAGAGTGACAGTAAAGTGAAGTCTGGAATTGGTACATTTCTCTTGCTGTACCTCCCGTAGCCCAAGAGTTGGTCGACGGAACTTCACCATCGTTGCTCCGGGTAACCGATCAAAATGTTAGCCACTACCGTGCCTCCCGAAAGCAGTTAGTAGATGGAAAAAGTGCCTTCCACAGTTTCATTGTAAACTTGAATAAGCTAATTATGTCGCATTCCCCCAACTATTCGAGAACGGACCTCTCTTTTTTTCCGAAAACGGATGGGGAGCCATGCTCGTTTCGCGTTTCAGGAGGTGCTTATTCTAATCAACAGCTATCCAGACGGCATTTGGTACAGCGCCATCAGTTGAGAGAAGTAGGCGCCACCGTATAAATGAAACACGCCACAGAATCTTCATGGGAAGGATCCCTGTCCGTTTAAAAGCTGTTATATCTGCTGATTCGCCAATCTGAAGTATCTGCTGCTGACACGCTCCAGTGCCTAGTTCCAAAGAAAAAAGACTCACAGAAGGGAACACAACAGCTATATTCCAAACAAGCGAGTGCGAGAGCGTGAATGCGTGCGAGTGCCAAAAGTACAACGGTCTCAAGTTATTTATTGGAGGGACACTGAACTTAGTCCAATGCTGGCGCATATGGTCTGGCTTTAGTACGAGGTTGTGACGTGCTGCATATTGCGAGGGCGTTGTTTGTCTGGTCAGCATCTAGCGGAGCTGAGAGTCTCAGTAGATTTCGGGCATTCAGTGGTTGCTTTCAGGAA